CCCCACACACACACAGCGGGCCCGGGACTGCTCCCTTCTCTCTCTCACGGCCTGGGGACCCCCCTCATCACGTGCTCACACACACGCGGCTCAGGAATCCCCCATCTCTCTCTCACACATGCACACACGCATAGCCCAGGGACCCCCCTCTATCACATGCATGCACATGCACACACACACATACACATGACCCAGGAATCCCCCATTGCACATGTACACACAGGGCCCAGGCATCTCTCATCTCTCCCTCTCTCACAGCCATGGGACCCCCCTATTACACATGTCACCCCGACCCCCGTATCACACACAAGGCCCAGGAACGCGCTCTCTCGCTCTCTGTGCCCCTCCTGCATCAGCCTCATGCTGGGCTCTGCTCCACACATGTAGGGCTGTCTTTTGGCCCCAGCCAGGCGCTGGGAGGCCGCAGCAGCATGTCCCCTTGGCTCTGGGGCTGGAGGAGGTGGCTCTAGTCTGATGCTTAGTTCCTCAGGAGGGAGGCTTGTCCTTCCCAGCGCTGCCTTTTGCTCTGTCTGGGGCAGGCTCTTGCCCCTGCCTACTTTGTCCCCCGTGTGTAGGCGGGGGGCAAGACCCTCGGAGGAGCTCATTTGAACTGTTGACCACAAGTTGCGGGTCCAGCTGGGCTGCCTGGCTTGTAAGAACAGCAGGGCCCTGTACCTGAAAGCTGTCAGAGAGCAGTTTTTCCAACTATTTAGTTGGTTTGATAAAAGAGATCACGTTTACCCAAAGAGCCTTGTCCGCCTGTGTCCTTAGACCAACACTGCTACAACCAGCAGCCCTTCTGGCTGTGCCTGGTATTCTCGCTCTGTTGCCCCACGTTTATTTGACCCGTGGGTATGTTGGGCACTCCAGCCTGTTTGTTGGCTAGTAGTGGAGGGGAGGGGATGCATTTTAGCTCAGAGTGTTTCTTTTCCTTTCCTTTTTTCTATGCATTTTTCTTCCTTGGGAAAGATTTTAAAGGGCATAACTTGTTTTATTACTCTTAAAATAAAAGAAATGCCCAGTGTTTTACCAAAACCAATGCATATTTCCTAAATGAGGAAGATGAGGGTGTTTGAGTAAATGTGATTTCTTTTGTTAGATCAACCGAATAGTTGGAGAAATGGTTCTTTCCAAGTTTTTGGGCATAAGCACCCTTCTTGAGGCACAGGGATGGTCTGCTGGTGTACATCTAGTCTCCACGGTCAATAGAAATGTGAAATGCACTCTCTTTTTATTGCTCCTAGTTGCGTATGTCAGTTTGCAGATCTTGTATTCCCATGTTCACAAGCTGAATTTGAACCCTATCCTATTTCTCATAGTGTTGTTTTGGTTTATGAGATTAAGTATGGCTTCTGCCATGGGCTGTAGATTTTCTGGAGCACCCATTTGAAATTAGAGATTTGTTTTACTTCTTCTCTGTTCTTGTTTTTAAAACAAAGACAGTTTCTTTATTTTTGAAAGTTAAGTGTGTGTAATATTAGGACTCCTCGTATGTGTGACCTTGCATACATATATCAATGTTGTTTTCTGTGCCTTCCTTTCTCAGTTTTGTTTACTGCAGTTTCTTCATCTCTGGCTTCCCTGATGCCTGCACACACTCGGTTCAGTGTGTTCAAAATATGGCTGCTTAAACCAGAATCAGTCAGCACCCATTTTAATCTGATGTTATATCTCTGACTCCTTTCTTCTCCAGTTCATCAAATTTAAACTCTTTGATCTCCTCATCAGTGCCCCCACCCCACCCCACCCCAGCCCTCTGCTTATTATCTGATCTTGTTTGTGCTTGGGGAAATTATGAAAAAATTGAAAAGGTCTTGGAACTGATTCACCTGAATAATTTCTAAAAACTCATTAGAACTGTATGTGTACATAAGCTTCTTGCAGCTTGAGCTAATTTTATATTTACATAAACCTTGAAGCGTACAGGAATGGTACTGATTTCTGAAAGTATGGTCTCCAACCTATGTGAATGATTGGTGTAGGTTTCTTCAAATGGACACAACTGTTACTTTGCCTTCCATCCTCCAGTAATACTATTCTTCATTTTCTTGAGATATTTGTACAATAAAAGCTGCGCTATCCGGCATCTTACAAGCTGGCATGCTCCACTAACTGGCATGCCGGGTTGTAAGATAAACTGAAACTGGAAGTGCCCGCCACGGCACTTCCGGTTTCTTTGAGCCCCCATGGCCCAGGGTAAAGCAGCCTGCACTGTCGAGCCCCCACGGCCCGGGGGCATAACAGGCTGTGTGGGGCCGTGCGGGGCCTGCCTTCCTGTCCCTTGGGGCCCCGAGGGCCTGTGGGAGTGGTGGAGGGATGCCCCAGACATGGGGGGAGAAGCGGCGGCTGGGGCCGCTCAATTAACCGGTCATATTTTGTTATCCGGCATCCCCCATTCCCGGGGGATGCCAGATAACAGAGCTTTTACTGGACTGCTTTTCATGAGACCTCTTGTGCCTGTGTGGAATGTTCTTTCTGTTGTGGTCCAGTAAGGCACCCTTACATCTTACCTAAGTTAGCCAGGGAAATGTTACCTCTCTCGTGATAACAAATACTAAATGGGAGTTGGGGATGGAGGGCTACAGAAAAGCTTTACCAGAAACAACATTTGTGCCCATACTTAATTATGCCACTATGCCCTTTGTGTGTATAACCCCTTCTGACCTTATGTCGTGTTTGACCTACAGAACACTTAGGTACATTGATGTATTCGTCAGAAATACATGTGAATTGTAGGCATTTTGGTACAGGGAGCATGTCTTTGGTTTCTATATTGCATCTAGCAACTTGCCAGTGACTATAAAATATCAGACTTACTTATTATACTCTTCTTTTGTTAATTTTTAAATGTAGTGACAGCCCAACAAATCTGTGGTATTTAACTCGAGTTTGTTATTAATAATTTTTCTGTCTTATTTTCAGATGACTGGATCAAATGAATTTAAATTAAACCAGCCTCCAGAAGATGGTATTTCATCAGTGAAGTTTAGTCCAAACACATCTCAGTTTCTGCTCGTTTCATCATGGGATACTTCGGTCCGTCTCTACGATGTGCCTGCCAATACTATGAGACTCAAATATCAACATTCAGGAGCTGTTCTTGACTGTGCTTTTTATGTAAGCATGTTGTTTTGTTTCTGTTCAATTCAGAGTATAGTACTAAAGGTACCTGGGGAGTAATTCAGTCAAAGGAGTGGCTATTTGAAACCTGCTCAATTTTTTACAAAGGGTAAACATAGTTTTAGGTATTACATGTGCCTCTAATTTCTATAATCACATTTCTAGAATAACATTTATTTATACCATTTATTGTTTTGCTAAAGATCCACATTAATATTGTAACTGACTTGAGTGAAATGGAGTGTACAGAAAGTAACCTCAGATGCCAAAGCCAGCAAGTTGTAACAGTGCTGCCACTGCCCACCCTGAGCATAGCTTGGCCCAGACCCCCTGCCAGGAAGAGCCTGGTGCTGCCCCTGGCCCCAGCCCACAGCAACCTCCTCTTGCCCTGGCCACAGATCTTGGGGGCACATGCTACCGATGCCCTCCTGGGGTGCATTCAACAGCGGAAGCCCCTCCCCCTGTGCAAGCTGCAGCTCTGTCCTGCGCCCTACCCTGTCACAACTGCAGCGCCAGCTCCGCTCCCTCTCTTACTGCAGGGGCCTCGATCTGCCACCCATTCCCGCATGCCCCTTCCTTCCCCCTCCTCCCATCCCCCACAGCAGACTTATCAACCAGATGCTGCTCTCCATGCTGCCCAGCCACGTATCGGCAATTGGATTGGTATCCATTAATACCGCTTGTTAAAAATTGGCCATTGGTATTAGCTCAAAAAATCTCTATCGGTGCATCCTTAGTATCAAGGCTGTATGATCTGACTGGGGCAGTGTTTTTGCTATAATATTGAGGGGTTATAATAAATCTAAAACTTACTAGCATTATTTTTGCACAAGTCCCTTTTAAACAATTTAATTCAGGGGTGGTCAATATGTGGCAAGCATAAGTGGCTTGGGTAGCCTCTGTGTGGCACATGGCAGACCAGGGAGGGAACAGGCAGCACAGATGGAGATTGGGCAGGGAGCAGAAAGCAAAGTGGCAGATTGGGCTTGCAGAGGAAATTGAAGTGACTTGAGGAGGGTGCAAAGTGGATTTGTAGCACGCTCGTTGAAAAGTTTGCCCCCACTGCTTTAAAAAATAAATCAGTTTTAACATCTGCCAATAAACTTTTCAGTTCTCATCTTCAAGAGCTACTTTAAACTGCTCTGATAGTGGAAAGCAACCATAAACCTATCAGATCGTAATGGGATCACTTCTGTATGCGGCAGAGTTTCTATATTGCTTCAGTATATAGAACCTGCCTTTTTGGAGGGGATAGGATGAAGTTGAGGAAGGGGACAAACATGGGGAGCTTCTGTGTTTCTAGTATTCCATGGGAAACAACAATCCATAGGGATAATTCATGGTTTGGTTAAGGTTACTCCAGTTTGTTGGGAGATTGCATCTTTTTCCTCTCTCTACCCTGTGAGCTGTTGTGTCCCTCAGCCATAGTTTTAGGTCAGCATCCTTAATTATATTATTTGTACTACAAGTGTCTAATCTTTTTGCTATCCAAACCTTGGAAAAAATTAAATATAATAGCCGACGATAATATGTTTGTGAAAAGTTAGTTCTGTATGGACAGCTGTAGTCAATAGAAGTATCATATATTCAAAATATACCTTTAATTTTTGTCCTGGTTCAGGAATGAATAATAATTTTTAAGGAAACAATCACTTGTAGATGACAAATCTTTGATTCAGTGTGTGTTTCTGAATTAATCTTCTGGGAAAAACAGAAGTTATATTGTAGAACATTTATGGTACTTTCATAATTGTACAGATTTGCTGTTTCTGTTTGCAGTGGTCCTTAAAATAAGTAGTTTCAATGAGCTAATATAATATAATAATATGAAAGTAATTACATGGTAGAACAGGCATTTTGACTTGTGTTTTCAAAATGCAACAACTAAGGGACATTCAGGGGTACCAGAAGGTATCACATTTAAACAAAATACTTTTCATATAATGCTCAACTAGTCTTTGAGACTCCTTGCTATAAGATTCTGTATTTTACTTAGCAGAATCACAGAGGGATCAGGTTAAAAAATAGGCGGGGGAGGGGGTTATAAACCTAGAAACCAATTTTTAATTAATGGAGGTTGAAAACAAACTTTCCCATGCACAACTGATGATTGTAGGTTTTCCTTGTGTCTTTTTCTGGTACTGGTCATTTGGCCCATCAAATGCAACATTCTGTATCAACGCAGATCTTGTGTAGAGAGGTTACTGTATTCCTAAATAACTGTACATCCCCAAACTAAAAATATGAACAACGATTGCAGCGTTCATGAACAGGTCTGTTCAGTTCTGACTAGCCATGATTTTATTTAAGAAAAATACTTAAATATTTTTTTTTTTGGTATTACGGAATACAATAAAAGTTAAGTACTGCAATTGGAATTTCCTACAGTAAACACACATGTATTCTTCATTCACTTGTTGCTGCAATGTTATTGGAAGATCATCATCTTATAACACTTGAACTTCAAACTTTTTATAATGTTTCTTTGGCTCTAATCAAATTCAACACATGAACATTTGTCCGGCAAGTCTTTGAGTTCCCAAACTGTAATATGAACAGTCCATTGGTTTCAAACAAGTTTTGCCTGCATCATGACTGATCAGTAAGAAAAATTATGAAGTTTGGTTACATGATATATCAAACCACATTTTCTAATTGCTGTGTTCCAGTTACAAGGTTATTCCATAAGCCTCAAAGTACTCCTTCCAGTGTTATCACCATGCTTCATCCTAAAATAGTCTCACCTTTTAATTCCAGAGAATTTGTGTAGATATGCTGATCCATTTTTAAAGGAGAAATGAATGCATATAATAAGTCAGTTTCTTATTTTGCAGGATCCTACACATGCCTGGAGTGGAGGATTAGATCAGCAGTTGAAAATGCATGACTTGAACACAGATCAAGGTAAGCTGACTGAATATTGTAAGAGAGCACATTAAGTGAACAAATGAACAGAGGAATGCTTAGTTGTATTTCAGGATTATAAATGAATTGAATACAAAAACAATAATTGTCTATAGATATATATAGTTTTGTTTTGATAGGGTGAGTACAGTCTTAAAGGATAAATGCAGTTTACGATTCATGAACCTTTTCATAGACACATTTAGTGTGACAGAAAAAGTTTAAGTGAGCAGTCACGGGTATAATAGGAGAAGGTCCATTTACTCTCATGTATTACCTACAGGAGCCTATTAATTAGCCATGGATAACCAGAAGCAGAATGAAAAGTGGTATAGTGAAAACTATGGCCTTGAGGGAACTGTGTATAGTACTTCAGCCACCAGCTTCATATCATAAACATGTTCTGTAGTGAGACAGGTATTTGTGCACCCACAAATCTTCATTAAAAGAACATCCCTGAGGTTGCAAACAATCTTCAAACGTTAGGAAATCCTAGGAATAAGGTGGTTTGGACAGCCTTGACATCATCCTAAGCATATGTATTACGATTCAGTCTATAATCACAACTGTTTTTTTTCCCCACAGGGTTACTGCCTCATTCTTTGTACAGGATGTGCTGTGCTTACTTAATAAGCAATCTTTTATTTATTTTCTCCTCACTGCTCAGTGTGTACCATCATAATTTTATGAGTCTTAGTTATTCAGACCTAGTTCTGAAGGCAGAATTTTTAATTTATTCATTTTTTTGTGCACCATATTTCTGTATTTCATAAATGATGAACACACCTTATACGACACCCTGGTCATGTCAGGGCATCATAGTATTTCCATTTTAGTTGGAAACTGAGGCACAAAGGGATTATAGCTAAGTGTCAATTAAGTTTGCATGCCTTGTTTGACAAATGTAGAACCTGATTTTTCAGTGTATATTACATATTCTATGGTTAGTTATATACATTAAGAGTGCTGGGACTCAGTCTTCTCTGCCAACAAAACCTTGACTTATCCCCAGAATAGGTCCATCCTTTGCATAAATGCAGGATTTTTATGTACAAATCTAGTGTGTGATCATATAATTTAATACATTAATACATGTGCACATGGGGCTAAATTTAGATATATATAGACAACCTGAATTTGTAATCTCAGTATTTTCTTTAAGGTATCATTGAGTTTTTAAAAAGCAAGCTGAAAAATATTTCAAGTGCTCTCAGCTTGGCACATCCTAATAATTTATTAGGAAGGCAGGAGCCTCAAGATGTCCTTGTTCATGGGGCTCTGACCCTTGAACGAAGACTAACTGATGGCAGTAATTAGTTGTTACCATCCATGTGGACTAGCATTAGATCTGTGGGACGAAGTGCCTCATCCCTCAGCAAATGCTGAGATGGGGTGTTGAGGGCAGAAGGACATGGCTTCCTTGCTTTTACTCCTGTATCCTGGACCCAATATTGTGATGCAGCAGGGAACTTTATATATGAGGAACATTTGGTTCAGCCCCAGCCTGGAGTTTGGTGTGGATAGAGTTTTTGGGGAATTAGGTAAGGTCTAGCAAATCTCCAGGCCATGTGCTAACTGAATTTTTCTTAGGCTTGTACGTTAGACATATTTACCCAGATTTTCACAGGGTTGACCTAGGCCCTGACATGCTGGCCAAATTTGTAGTTCCTGCTCCAGAGGTGTAGCTGTGCTAAAGCAGTCTCATTATTGGAAACAGGTGAACTATTTAATTTAATATTGAATGGAAAAACCCCAAAAAGTGAGGAATATGTATAATATGTCAGATTTCTACCAGATTGAAAGTTGGCAAACTTTAAATAATTGTGAACTGAGAATTAGAAATAATTGGCATTATTAAGCTCCCTTAGTATTGATACTGCCACCAGCCCCACCTATCATAACCATCATTTTCTTATTTCATCTTATATCTACGTTTGCAACCTTAAATGACTTTTATATTTTTAATAAGTGTGGTATATATCACTTGTGGTGGTGAAATCCATGTGATAAAACGGCATTTATTATTTAACCTGGACTGACTCGCTAATCAGTTTTAACAGAACATTTCAAATAACTGAGCACTTGCAAACTCTTTTTACAGCAGTGTACCAGAGATGTTTCCTTCTCATTTCTGTTTTGGAAACTCCTGTGGTGCAGGGCATGGGCAATATTGAGTTCTGCAGTAGGAATGCATTTATTGTCTGATATGTCATGACACAGCAAGGTCAACAACATATATTTTTTGTTGAAATGGTTAGAAGACCAAATATTCTTTAAAGGGGGTTGCAGCATGCTAATGCATTAATAAATGTCAGTGTGTTACTGCTATATGATACTCTTGTATTCTTCATTCAAGAAATTGTGGCTGTTAGTAAGACTCTAAAACTACATGTAACTTTGTGTTTCCTCTGATAGAAAACCTTGTTGGCACCCATGATGCTCCTATCAGATGTGTCGAATATTGTCCAGAGGTGAATGTAATGGTGACTGGAAGTTGGGATCAGACAGTTAAATTGTGGGATCCCAGGACTCCTTGTAATGCAGGAACCTTCTCTCAACCCGAGAAGGTTTGTACTCAAGTAATATTACAGTATTACATATAAAGTTATGTTACGTATCCAGTGACTATTAATCGGCAGCGCCTTTCTTGTATGTAAATTCTGTCATGACCCATGAGATTGTAAAATATTTAGTGATTTTTATTTTCATGTTAACCCTATAATAAAAGTGTTTTGCAGACAGTATTAATCCTTAGCTGGAAATTTTAGGTTGTGCAAAGACTCTAGTTCTTATCATTAGGAAAAAAAAAACTTGGTTCTGAAATTTTTTTTTTATATTCTCTTTTTGTAAACCTTTTACAAGTTCTAACACAGATTGAAAAAAAGTTAGTGTGTGTAAAAGTGAGACACTAGTAACAGTGGCTTGAGTGAGATGGATGAGTTGAGCTAGCTTCCTCAGATGACTTTGCCAATCTACCTTAATTGGTAATCCACCTAAAGCACAACTACTGTTCAGATTTTGGGATTGCAGAGAATAAAGCCCAAAGCTCCTGCTTCAAGTTGTGTGCATAAAAGACCAAACTAAATCATTTACATGATAAATTGAATTTTAGGAGGTATTATAGCACAGCACATAGGCACAGTCCTTTTCCTGTTACTGAGCAGTTATGTGCTACTGACAAATCTTTAAAAGGAAAAGGATAAATTAACTGTGACACTAGGCTTCTTTTCATAGTTGCATAAAATACTGATCTTTTCACTGTTAGTGGACATGTAGAAAGGCTATTTTCATTAGTCCTTCGTTCTGTCTTCCTAAATGGATGTTGGATAAATATGAATATTTTCAGTTTGCCACTCCAGGGTTTCATTCATTTCTGTCTAAACATATTGTCCAATCAGAGTTATGAGCCATCAGAATGTTCCATATTGCATCTAAATAGCTATTATTTTTGTCACAACATAGCTGAATCTACTTCTGGCAAGTCCTTTGTTCAGAATAAAATAATTGCATTGTTTCTAGTTTTGATTTATAGTTGTATGTAGCATGTAAAGAACTGTGATAAATTGCTGACATATAATGGACAACCACACTGAATCAAGCTGCTTATTGGTTCAGAAAGGCTCATTATGTCACTTTTTTAATACTGTCTTTGATAAATGCATACACCTAGTCAACTGCATGACAGTGGTTTCATTTGATTTATGGTTGTCTGGTGTAGAAAGAATACTTACCATACAGGTGTGACATCAGTTTGTAAAGAAGATTTAGGATATTTTATCAGCTTTTTTGTGGTTGTTCATATGTGTATGTGAAAACTTTATTGTTTGAGTGTAATTTCTGTTTAGATTTTCATCACACTATATATAGCAGTTAAAAATAATCATTTTAAGTGTATAGTTCCTTTTGATAAATGATACCAGGCTGCATTGATATTATCACTTCTTGGAAAATCTGCGGTATAGTATTTTCTGGGCTAAGTCCTACAGATAAACAGAGGACTTTTTGTGTTTATTCTGTGTTTAAAACTAACTGTTAGACAAGTGCTTGCATCTGTTTAAGCTTACATTTTTCTTACCTTCTTATGAAGGTAAGAAAGAATGAAAGCATTCTTTCATGGTTTGTATTGCTGAGTGGACAAGTTTAGACAGAAATGAATGCAAGAATCTTACTTGTCGCCTTATGAAGGTCTCAATTCCACTGAGTTTTTGTGAGTCAACTTACTAAAAAAGGAAGAAAAAAAATCAGATGTTCAAGAATGTGTTAATATTTTTCAAGATGGCAATGTAAATGACAAGGCTCAAAGATGAAGGGAGCACAGTATGTAAGAGTACGCTGTCCTGTAGTTTGTCCTAAGGTTTTTATGTAAATGTTCTTTACAAAAGCAAACTTACTTGTAAATTTATTAAGTGAAAAGAGTTTGTTTTATTTATTTCCTTACAATGCCAATCAAACCACAGGATCATGGGGAATGTGAGAGAACAAAAACAAATGGGTTGCTCCATTTCATTGTAAGCAGAGATATCAAAATTGAATAGCATTAAGCATTGCAAAGAATTGCATGTTTAATTTTTTTCATTTTAATAGCAAGATGCTCACAACATACAGTTTGATTTAACATTAGATTGCTTTTTATGAGAGAGTCAAGTGGGGAACTGTCAGCTACCCTACAGAAACTGCCTGTGTACATGCTCTCGTCCTGTGGAAAATAAAAGTTAACCAATATGGAGCAGCTGCTGTTCTGTGAAGTCCCACCCTCCTTTGCCTCTTGGTAACTTTATTGTGTGTCCAGGCCTTCATAACTACTTCATATTATGGTGTTAGAATGTGTTTAAGGTGTGAATTGAAATGCAGTTTTTAAGAAGAGGCAGCCCACAAAAGCTTGAGATGGATATATACTGTGGCTAGTCTAACGTGCAAATGTATCCTGCCGTACAGCCTTAAACCACATACTGCCAGATCAAAAATGCTTCTACTGCAGTCACTAATATTAAAGTTGCACACTGAATAAAAAGGGGGAAAATCAATAGCTGTATTTAATTAGAGGTCATCTGCTTTTTAATTACAGAGTGTTGCTAGTTCATTTTTCATGTCAGAATAAAATATGAATTATCAGCCCATTAGAGTGGCTTTTGATAATGTTTTTGTAAACTTTTTTTTAACAGGTGTATACGCTCTCTGTATCTGGAGATAGACTAATTGTGGGGACTGCAGGTCGGAGAGTCTTGGTCTGGGATCTACGGAATATGGGTTATGTCCAGCAGAGAAGAGAGTCAAGTTTGAAGTATCAGACCCGTTGCATCAGAGCATTTCCAAACAAACAGGTATGGCTGCTGTGCAGTATCTCTTTACTAAGACGTTTCTAGTAAAGACAGTTGAATCTTTTGCAGGGAAAAGGAATTTGTGGTGTGACTTGTCACTTCTGCTACCTTGTTGAAAAAATTTACAGTAGTTTAAAAAGTAAGTTTAAACTTTAAGAATTCATAGCTCAGTCCTTTTTAAAAATAAATGAACAATGTTGAGACTTCCTGTTTCAGGTGGTCATTAGCAAACATTTTAAATGACAGTGGCCTTTACAAAAGGCTTTCCATTAGTTTTCTTTTGGTTTCTCACTCTTCATCTGTTTCTTTTCTGCTCTTAATCTTGTTTTAAAAAATGCTGGTCGATGCATCACAGAACTGACAAATGGAGGAAGAGAGGGAAAAGATAACTTGCTATTGCTAGATAACTTTTATGGATATAAACTACAAATTCCTCAGACTTTGCCTTCTGCAACATGGAGCCTAAGCTGTAGGAAAATATATATAGTAGTATGCAAAATATCAGTGCAGCGTTTAGCTAAAAACTGTTGTAGACTTCTTTCATACTACAGCCTTACTGAGTCCTTGCTTGGCTGGTCTTATGCCTCAGTTACGTTGTTTTGGTTACAGGGGATTGCTTAAGAATAAGGTTTACCTTTCTTTCCGTTATTCATTCCCCACATTATAGTTTGGTGTTTCTGTTGCTTTGCCTTCTTCTGGAGTGGGAAGTAAGTAGCACTTGGGAATGGACTATTCCAGGGCTCAGTAGTGAGACCTTGGATACTTCATGCAGTGGGAGATGTTTTTTCTGGTGTTAGAATGAGTAAGTATGATGTTTTTCACCTAAAACTAGAGTTAGCGTTAGTTTGGTACTTCATATTGTCCTGCAATCTGGATTTGATGTAGGTAAGTATAATTTTATTTCTGAGAAATGTAAGCATTACACTCATGGCAGATAGATGGCAAAAGTGGATTGCCATGTGTTAATGCTGTGAATTAAGTAGAGGCAGACACTTATGTAATGGAAAATATTCTGATCTGATTTGAGTATTTAGTTGCCAATACTTTATCCTGAACTAATTTTAATAGAAGGCTAAAAATGTTGCCTGTTGACACCTGTGGTGTCTCAGTTGAGATCAGTAGGGTGTAAGGATTGTGACCAGACATGGGGGATTTGTTTTCTGCAATTTGTGTGACATTGGCAGTGTTTCTGGATCTGCGGGTGTATCACAGGTCTCGCCAAACTTTTACTTAGCTTCGTTGAACTTTCAGGCAAGCTTCCCCCCATGTATTTTTTGTTATTGAATCATGTATGTGTGACATGAGTTGTGCAACTGGAAAGCATTTGTAACTATTACAAGTAAACATTCTTAAGTTTTCCTGCAAGGTGTTTCTTGTGCAGCTGGCTTTAGAAAAGGTATTCAACTAATCATAGTTGCAGCACTTGAGTGTCTAACAGGTACATTTTCTTTTCTTTTTTTGCATAGGGTTATGTTTTAAGCTCTATTGAAGGTCGTGTTGCAGTAGAGTACTTGGATCCAAGTCCAGAAATACAGAAGAAGAAATATGCATTCAAGTGTCACAGATTGAAGGAGAATAATATTGAGCAGATTTATCCAGTTAATGCTATTTCTTTCCACAACATCCACAACACGTTTGCTACAGGTAAAGTAAATATTTAAAATTGTATAGATGTATTTCTTTAACAGGTACTTGGAGACTCCACTGCATTACAAAGCTGTTTTATGTTATGGTCTGTCCAGCTGATGACAAAATTTGTTATAGTATTTTATTTCACTTTCTTGTTTTCACTAGGATTAGTTGCATTGAATGCTGAAACAGTTGTTGTTTGTTCAGTTATGACAGCCTAACATCTTAAGATCTTTATTTATTTATTTTTTTTGAAAATCAATTTGCAGGTGGTTCTGATGGATTTGTAAACATTTGGGATCCGTTTAATAAAAAGCGACTATGTCAGTTCCATCGGTATCCCACAAGCATAGCATCACTTGCCTTCAGTAACGATGGAACCACCCTTGCAATAGCATCCTCATACATGTATGAAATGGATGACATTGAACATCCTGAAGATGGTATCTTCATTCGCCAAGTGACAGATGCAGAAACAAAACCCAAGTGAGTATGCTTCACTTGTATTCGAGCCTTTTTGAGCATTCATCCCAGGATTTATTAATTTTCCTAAATTCATGAATAGCATTATTGATAGCTAGTAGATAGTGCAGCTTGACAGTAGGGTTGGACTTGATTTTATCTTGTTCTCCCAAGCTTTCAATATCCGTAGGTTGATAGACGTGTGATGGATAAAATTGCGCCTAGTTGTTTAGTAGGAGAATGTCAAACTCTTATTCTCTTTGAATAGTCACTGTTATTCTAGGCTGTGGAGTTATTGTTAGCTCGTTGCTTCAAAATTAAGTTGAAGAATTCAAGCATTATTCATTTGAGCAAGTTTTATTCTATTGGATCTGTAAGAGTTATAACTAGGTAAAATTTGTATATGCAGATTAGAGACCTAACTTTTCCACTGTGGAGAAGCATTGAACTGGTTCTAGGGAGACTGCATCAAAATCATGTAAGCATTCCCACTTGGAGAATAATCTTTTGATTTGGAGTGTGCTTTTTACCCTTTGACACCAGACTGTGTCACCACTACTAGTAAAGGGAACATCCTTTATTGTTGGATAGAGAAGGCCTCTACTAATGCTCAGGCTAAAGAAAGCTAAATGGAAAATCTGACATGGTATAGAATTGCACATTGATATAACCTCTGTCATTTGCATCAACTTGGCAGTAGGTTAAACAGAATTATTCTCTTGTTTTTTAAAGATTCTTACGTGTTTAATCAAACTGCCCAGTATTTAACTATTTGGTTATGGGATTTATTACTTTATCTACTGTATAATACCAATTAACTGCTGTAATACTACTTACCTTTACCAAAAAAAATTGTGGTTTCTTTTAAATGAGAAGCTGCATCTCACTTTTTAAGTTGTACTCCAATATCATTTTGTTTTTTTAAGGCACCTCTCTACAGTGTCAGTCTGCTTGTTTTGAATCATTTATTATTTTGTGGTTATATTGAGAGTAATATTGGTAAAATAAAAAATAGTGTAACTGCTTGTGGACTTGCAGTTTTAAAGTGATCTATTCTCTTTTTCTGGCATTATGTAAAAAGAAAGTGTCAAATTATTACCCAGAAATTATATCCATATTATAATTACATTAAATAGGGATTTTTTTGTATGAGTAACTGTAAGTTAATACTTATTGTTCCTGGGCTTACAGTGTTAGGGCCTATTTTCAATTATTTCTGTCCATTGTTGGTTATAGTTGCTAGTTCTGTAGATGCCTTGTTCTGCTGTATGAGGAGGTTAATCTACAATTAAACAATATTTCCTCTTGGCCCTCCATTATTTTCTGAAACAGATGGTTCATCATTTCCTGGGCTGTTAAATACAGCGAGGTTAAGGTTAGACTCTTGGGAATCAGCTAGTTTTGAATCTTATTAGACTGTAGAAGGAAAACTAATAAGAATACTCCTTAATATCATTTTGTGACTGTAAACAATTATTTATTAGCAAACAATTGATCCCAGAAGGGCAAATTGTTTGAGTCAGTAATGAGCTGAGAAAAGACAGAGCATATCTGTGTATTTGGAAAATAATTGTAACGTAATTGCAATGCATTTAGACAGGCATCTTTTTGGACCTGTTTCTATCTTTAAATGAATTTCTGAAAACATTAACAAGGTTTATATGCTTTTCTGACATTTATAAGTTGCTTGTGCCAACCCTAGGACACCAGTCTTATGGTGAATAAGAGTGGGGGTTTGTTGGGGGGAATATGCTATGTAGTCATATCAAGGTATCTTCAAATAGCATGCTTTTTCTTTGCTTTCTGCCTAATATCTAGTTAATAGTGCTTTTTTATGGTATGGCTCTTTTTTAGGTTAGTTTGAACTATCTTGCTTTTGTATATCCTGTCTTTTAAACATGTGGTTGGAACAATGCCTTTTTAATAATACGGGCATTTGGAAGGGGTTTGATTTGCTGACAACCAAATTACCACATCAAATGCTTTTGGAAGAAGCAAAAGTTTTCTGTTCTGTGCAGTTCAGAGTTAATAGTCTTTTTATTTGTTTTTTTTGTTTTTTTCAAAAATTTCCATTGAAGTTTTTTTAATGAATTTATAAAAAGTCTGAAACCTACTTGTTGAAACATTACTTTCTTTATTTCAGGTCTACTTAAAAATCTGGCAGGAAGCTTCAGCTCTTCTTTATGAAAGGCTTGTTTACCTGCTCCTAACAAGACTAGCCTGTAATGGTGATTAAAAGATAGAAGTGGAAAGAACATTTTTTTTGTATTGATTTGCCTTTTAACTAAGAAACTTGTGTCTTTCTGTACCTTTTGTATACTTCACTCTAGTGTTGTTTCTTTTTTTTTATTTAGAGCATCAGTTCATCCATGCTTTGTTTAACTGCAGTCTTAAAAGTAAAATGAGTCTTTCCTGTAAGCAAACTGTGTTAAAATCACTTACTGCATTTTTGTTCTGGAAGTTTCCGGTAGTTTCAGAACTGCTCAATAAATCACGTTGAAAACCTTAACTGCATGTGTGTCGTACTGTATGAAATGAGTCTCTAAGACTGGTCCTTAGGTTGAATGTTTGGAGCTCATGGGTTCTTGATATGGCTCATGGCAAGTCACTGACTCAGCTGTCTTTTTTTTTTTTTTCTTCCTAGCCCAATAAATGGGAACACACCTCATCAAGGCTGTTAACCTAGTCCAGTGATTCTCAGCCAGGGTGCCGCAGCATCCCAGGGTGCTATTAGATTCTTTGAAGAGTGCCCAGAAGTGTGAAGAGATAAGCCAGGTTGTGTGAGCACAGGCTCAGGCTTGTCCTGCCTGGCTGCTCCCCAAGCCCCTCTACAGGGAGGTGTAAACACTGTAATAAATTTAGTTGTTTGAAATGGTGCCAATCGATTCACAAAACTTATGGAGGGGTTTGTTGAGTCTAAAAAGGTTGAGAACCACTGACTTAGTATTCATATACTGTTTTGAAAGCATAAAGCATTTAAAGTGGAGGTGTCAAACACATCTGTAACCCTGGGCCAGATCCAGACAACAGGGCTCCTCATGGGCCAGAGCCAGGTTGCGTGAGACTCCTGGGCTGGATGCAGATCTGAGCAAGTCACAGTGGCAGGGGTTAATGCAGCTGTCATTCACCCCGTCTGCCTGCTGCTGGCATGCATGCCTAGTGCCCTGGATTTTGGCAGCGGATCCCACCCCAAATTAGTGGTCCCTCTGAGTGTTCCATGAGTTTAATGAAATGGTTTAGCAATCTGTATGCTTGACACTCCTGATTTAAGACAAGTCTAGGCTGTATTGATGACCCGAACCATTGAGGAATCATTGATCATTTGCAAGGGGAAGGTAGGGCTCGATGTAACACTTGAAATTCAAGCTGTTAGTTATTTCACTTGCATCATGCCTGTAGAGAATCTTGAGATCAATCATGATTTGGAAGAGTTGAGAACAGAGCAGTACAAATTAGAAGGTCTGATACTTTGACTGTGATATAAGGTGGCATGTGTTTGATCTTAGTTTGAGCAGCCAGCCAACACAGAGCAACACCAAGGTAATGGTGGAAGAAGAAACTTATGAGAGCAGGGAACTCTCTTTTGCCAAAGAAAATTGTACACCTCTCAGGAGAAGGTAGGGTCCAATCCCTCCTAACTTCAAACTTGTTTTGCTGCCACTTCTCATTCAGTAATGTAATCTGTAATCTGACTTCTTGCTTCAGCTGCTAAACCAAACAAATGTTTCCTGTAGAGAAAACTGTATTGTAAAAATACAATTTCTGTCTGAGAAGCAGCTTTTTTAAAAAAAAAAATATTGCAGCATAGATTTGCATATTTGTTTTTCTCATCAAGTCTATTTTCAGGTTAAAAAAAATGTTTCTTTAAGTTGCATCTGAGGCTAGCTTGTCATTGTCAACTAAAAGTCTTCTGTTAATCACCTGTTTAAGTCCAGGAAAACAACACTGATTGTTGAAACAATGTAGTTTGTCATGGTGGGATAATTGGCAGTGGCTCCAGAACTGCATGAAGGGGCAGGCTATCATGGACTGGGATGAGGAGCTTGCACTGATGGCAGTGAAACGAAAAAGCCCATACCAATACAGAATGGGATAGTCTATTGCAGTTTAGAAGCTGGTAACTCCCAATTGCTACAGGTCTGTGGCTAATCAGTTCCTTATTAAAGACACAACTGGTAGGAGTGATTGTTGTGTGCTGTCATTTTGAGGTTTCTTTATCCACATATTGGTGTCATAATGGACATAGCTGAAATTATAGCTGGCTTTCAGAGAATGAGTTTTTCTTGTAGGGCTATTGGGTATGCACGTATTGTCATACTTTGTTATTTACAGTGAGCCAACTAACCACGTGGATACTACTCCCTTGTTTTGCAGAGGGTTTATGCATATTGACATTGGCCAAACAAACCAGGTTGAATGATGGCAGAGTTTCGAGATGATGAGGAAGTTGCATGATTGGCCAAGCTACAACCTTATTCCCCCTCCACTACAATGAGATGGTAATCAGGGGGCATATGTTCCTCCCAATATTATGAGGAGCCCCACCAGATTTGATCTCTGTACCCAGACATTTTTGGGCTGTACAGATCCTTTAATTTAGACTCTGAGCAAAATGATTGTGTGTGCATTTGGAAGGGGAGGTGGCCCTACCTGCCAACTGCTTGGATGCCAGCATTCACTGTTTTGTACACACTGTCTCCTGCAATGCCCTGCACAATGCATGTGAAGTCAGAGGTGAGCCATTCTATAGTGACAGGGACCATGGCCTCTGAACTACCAAATATGTATCTAGAAGGCTCCCTAATGAATGGTTCACACCCCTGCTTAGTGGAAACCAGGGAAATTAAAGATGCCACATTTACAGATGTTTTTGTAGCATGTCCTTGAATGAGAATGTAATAGGCAACATGTTTTGTAATTTTCACTGAGATAAGTCCAGATAAGTCTTCTAGTATTTTCATGCTGTTGCAAAACCACCCTCTTGTCCATTTCATATTTTAGAATTTGAAAGTTGAAACATTCAGTCTTGTCAATTGTTTCTTAAAGATGATCCCCTTTAGCTTTGATATCCTTGGAAAATACTTCAATTGGTATAGGAGATCTTTGGCCCCTTGCCCAATATCTGGGTCACAGGAGGAGGGAAGGAATGATTTGGTACTCATTTTGTCTCTTGTGAAACTATAACAACTTTGTCCCTGAACTGCTTTGGAAATTTTCAATTCTGGGTACGAAGGCCCTTTTGAATTAAAAAAACTTGATCTTATGGGATGTGATCCAAGGTGAGTGCTGCTGTGGCAAGATAATGTACCCTTCCTTCCCTAAGCAGCGGAAGGGTCTCCCAGTGATGGGAGGGTTTGTGCTTCCCGTGATGGCTTTCCTTTCCCTCAAAGTATTTGACCTGTGGTGTCCGCTTAATAGCTTTAAGCAGTGCACTGTTCAGGCCAGCTGGTTTGAAGGGTTTTGGGGGTGAGACCACCGAACCATTGCATGATGCATTACGTGGCTGAAAGAGGTATACAACCATGAAAACAGGCAACGATTAATTTGCAGAAAAGATAAACTGACCGGATGAAGAAAAAAAATAAGTTGCAGGTATGTGTATGTGTTGATGGGGCTAGATGGTAACCATATGCAGGGAATATAAAGGTTATAGTGATTCTTTGAAGAAAGGTGGAGCAGGGCACTGTAAAAGGAAGGATGTGAGATTTAACGTGGATATACTTCAGAGCAGCAGGGAAATGAAAGAACAGGGTTGGTGGTGCGATGCTGGTTGCAGGGAGTTGGGGTCAGGCAGCATCAGTGGTGGTAATACCAGCTTCTCTGCCCTGCTTCCTGCTGCCCTTTCTCCCCTGGCCCCTTTAAGCAAGAGGTTTTGAACAGCTTGGGTTAGAATTGAGGGATTTGCTTCAACTTCGGGTGGTGCCTGTGTTGATGAAAGGCAGTGAAGGCGCAGAAGAAAGGCCATCCATCTCCTGAGTAAATGTCTTGAGTGAATGACTTGCGCATTCCCAGGCCTGCGGTTGCATGCCTCAGGCTATGCAGTCTTCTTGTAAGGAATGAAGATGCACTAGCACCCACTTCTAGTGTTCACATTGGAGATTTATGCAGTCTCAGGGTCTGCTGTAGTTGTATCCCTTTGAGTACAACAGCAAACAAGTCCTGGAGGGCTTCATAGTTTCATAGTAGCTAGGGTCAGGAGGGACCTGAACAGATCATCT